TGTTCTGCATTCTTGGGTCGCTTTTAGTGAACCCATCATGACAATAAGTGCCGTAGCGTCACTGCATTATTTATCAAGTAACTTTCCAGTAGTGACGTTATTTTTTTTTATCAAGTAGCAACATAGCGTCCACAAACGCTACAACATCCAGGGCAAAACTAAGTAATGAAACCAGGTTTTCTATTTTTGAAACAACAATTGGAGTTATTCGTTGGACATTCCCGCATGAGCCTCCCATGTATAAAAAGAGGAGCTGAGCAGCTCCTTTAGTCAGAGACTTACAGTAGACACCCTGTCTGTAAGAAGGAGCGCTACCGCAGGTCATTCGTTCCTGCTGCCACCAGACTCTATAATAATGCACTATATCAACAATAAAAACCACTGTGCAGCTACATTATAGTTTTGTATTTATTGACTGTGAACAATATGCTGTGCAATATGTTGAATGTGCAATATTTCTCCTCCTGTATATAAGCCATCCGTATTGCACATATCGTTATTTCTTTTTTTTAATTTCCTATTTTTGTTTTGTTTTTCATTGTGTGCGATACATGTACACATGCACCTTAATCCTATTTATCTTGATATACTGTATATACCTGGATATACTGTTTATATATTGCTTATTCTTAATGCACCTTTTTCCTCCCTGTTTGCACCTTCTGTAACTTCTATGCCAATATGTGACGAGGGAATTTCTCCGCTGTGAGATCAATAAAGCTCATCTAATCACATCTACTCCAATCTAAATAAATAAATAAATATATACATGTTCAATAAATAAATAAGCATTCAATTAATTACCCCCAATAAATGGTGAAATGATATGTTCTCATAATAAATCATTTATTTAAAAAATGCTGTTATGTTCCTTTTTTGTAAAATTGCTTTTAAAATGCTTAACTATTTTTATTCTTTTATTTTCTTTCAAAAAATCACTAGATTTTAAAAACACTCATAGTTTTTGAAAGGTATTATATATATATATATATATATATATATATATATATATATATATATATATAGAAACTAAAACGCTCGGATCTTTATGTCATTTTGTGTGCGTGTGAAGCATCTGCAATGTTTTCGTGAAATATTCAAATAAATAAGATGGACTTTAAACTAGCAGACACGTTTGGATTTTTGCCATTTAAGTTTTTTATTTAATTTTAAAAACGAAAGAAATGGAAATTGGGTTTTTATGTCATGATCTTGGCGCTGATGGTTTGGTTTTTTCCTCTGCTCCTTGCTCCCTGTCTAATTGGTCCTGCGGTTCTAAGTTGTGTGTTTGCCTCCCATCAGCGCCAGGTTATTCGTGTGTTTTGGTGAGACATTTCCTAGCTTTCTTTAGTTTCTCTGCTTCCCTGATTATGACCAGTTTTCTGTCCTGTGGATCAGCTGCGTCTGCTGCTCGCCCTCTAGAAACTCTGGGGGCTTGGCCGCCGCAACTGCTGGTCAAATCTCCCTTCTGGATTCTGCTGAGTTTCCCCGCGAATGAACTGAACTTTGAATCAAGTCCATGACTTTGCTCCAAGTCGCATTCAGCTCCACATCCAGTCTCTGGCCTGTATTCTCCTATCCATGCAGAGATCAGCCCCGCAGCAGACGAGCAGCCCCGCGCACCTGTTTTGATTAATAAACGCTTTGAACTTTCCCACTGCCTGTCTCGCCTTGAATTCTGGGTCCAATATTCTTAGATCATTACAGAATAACCTGGCAGTGGCGAAATGATGTGGATCAAAGTATTTCCCGGCTAGAATCAGGCATGCAGGAGATCCTTGATTATTAATCAGGCTGCTCCAGCTGCCCCGCCCCTGACAGCTGCCGCGCCGTCGTCTGCTACTGATAGTCCAGCTTCTCTTGAACCGCGTCTGTAGAGCCTTCCTGACTCAGTGCGAAATTCATTTTGAATTACAGCCCTCTGCGTTTCCTTCTGATCGAGGCAAGGTGGCCTATGTAATCTCTCTGTTAGCGGGAAAGGCCAAATTATGGGGAACGTCAGAGTGGTTGAATAATCCTGAACTCTGCAGCTCTTATAATAAATTTTCTTTGGAAGTAATCAGAGTTTTTTGCCCAGTATTCTCCTATCCCTGCAGAGATCTGCCCCGCAGCAGATGAGCAGCCCCGCGCACCTGTTGGTGTTTAATAAACGTTTTGAACTTTCCCACTGCCTGTCTCGCCTCGAATTCTGGGTCCAATATTCTGACAACATTACATTTTTACAGGTTTGCTTAAAAAGATTTATATAGTAGCCCATAATATAATAGTGAAACATAAAGTCAGGAAAATGTCTCATAGAAAATGTTTTTTATTTGCATTTCAAATCAATATATTACTGATAGCAAATGACATGTATCTCTTGGCCCTGGGAATATTACATGCCAGTCGCTGCTCCATTCAAGGCTACGACCTCATCGTTGTCTTGGAAAAACCGATGTGTAGACATTTACCCTCTTGTTCTCTGACAATAGAGTTCAAGCACCGCTATAGTAGTAGCGGCATTCCTGCATTAAGTGGTTTGCTTAATTAATTGGTGATGTTTAGAACAGGATGACATAGAGGAACCCATTATATCCAGATTACGTTCTGGTCATACGTGGTTAAATAGTACATGATTTAAAATGGGAATAAACCGGATTAGCTCACTGATTTGCGCGTTGATCACATAACTATTTTCTTCTCTCCAAAACACACAGCTGCACCGCAGGCTTTGGAAGAAAAATCCAATCCATCACGGCGGGGCGGTGCTGATCCCCGCAATATTAACCCTTTATTTCGTATTGATGATTAAAAGTATTTATAACTATATTATTTTACAGTACAGTACAGTAGTTAACATTTATATCGTACTTTTATTTGTTAAACAAATGCTTGGGCCTGTATAAAGTTTTTATTCCCTGATTTCAATGTTGTAAGGAGTATTTCATCGTATGATAACTCAAAAAAAAAAAAAAGGTTTCTACTTCACGTATTTCACCTATCGCGGGTTCTTTTTGGAACGTAACCTCCGCGATAAACGAGGGTTCACTGTATTTAAAATGGAAATACTCCTGATTAGCTCACTGACTTTTGGGTGGGTCACAACCATCCCTGACAACAGTTTAGAAACGCCGCTATTCATCGCGGCAGCAAGCAGCATTCTTGCATAATGTGCCCAAAAAGCATGGGGGGTTGGGCCTTTCATGCTTGTTGTAAGGCATCATAGCGTCCTTTTCCAGATCAAACTGAAAATTTTACCAGCTAGATGATAATAAAAATAACAAAAATAGTATAACAATACGCCTATTATTATCAGAGTAAGATATTGAGGCTGTAGAATGATAATCCCTATGGTCTAATGAAATTCCTTGGAAAGGTGGAGCGCACATCAGCTGATCTAAATAAAAGAAAGATGCCATAAAGTCAAACAGCATAATAGGCTACTATCCGTAATATATATAAATAAGTTAAAGAAGTTATTGTACAATTTCTGATATCATAGGCCATCAAGTGATAAAAAAAAAAAGAAAAACATTTAAGGCAACATTAATAACTTGACCACAGCTGGAACCGAACCCTTAACCTTTGGAATTGCAGCCCATACACCCTACCCTCTACGCTAAACCTGGGGAACAATAATGTTCTCAGCTCGCAACAAGTCATACCCCTCCCAGTCTGCTCATTCACCTATCTAATCTGACTCATGGGACGCCGAAATGGACTCAGACTGCCACCTAGTGGCTATAGTAGTCACATGTTTTTCACACAATATATGAAACATGCGGAGCGTGAGTGAAGTGTCCATTTCCAACCAGCGCCCACTGTATGTTCAAAAGTAATTATGCTTTTCTTTGAGTTCCTACTCAAAGGGGATTTCCTTTGTATTTGTGATAACATATAACCTAGCTGTCAGAAAAAAAACTCAATATCAGAAATGATCACAAAAAAACATGTTAAACATCCACAAGTTGCTTTTATGATTTAGATTTTGTTAGTTATACTGTTTTGACAAACTTAAAGTTCTTAGTAATTAACCAAACACAAAGATTGAAAGCCAAAATCAATCAGAAGCCCTCTGGAGATCTAATCTGTCTTATCCTACTGTAAGCTTTGATCAATGAAACAAGCTCACCATTCTGTAAAAATTCAAAAAAATATCCACTGGACTTGGTTTTCAAGATTGGAAGACGTTTCGCCACCTCTCCAGGAAGCTTTCTCAATTCAAATGTCTGGATCCGCAGTGAGTTTGAGTCTTATATAGACAACTCATGTATCGCTTGGAAACATGCAATGGTAACCGATGAATGGGTCGTTAGTTCCATCGTTAGCCTGTAATATCTGAACCTGTCTATGATTCTAGGGGTCGGTCGTAAATCTTGGTCAATCTTGAAAACCAAGTCCAGTGGATATTTTTTTGAATTTTTACGGAATGACTATGACCTGGATGACTGAGAACCTTCATCAGCATAAGCTCACCATTGCATTTGGTTCAAATTAAAGCAGCACTAAAGTCACCATCCAGCAAAAGTTGATTGAAAATTCACACAAAGACATATATTTTCACAGTTTGTTCCAATTAACGTGTGATACAGTGATTAGCTGAATAGCCTGCATGTTAAAATGTTTCATGGATTGAGTGTCTGCTTTTTTCTTGCCTTTTGATTTTTTTTTCTTTTGCCCTGTGTCTGTTTGGGGTATTCTGGCTCCCTCCATCTTTTGTGAGGTTTTATTTGTTTTTCTATCTTAAAACTCTCAGAGGCAAACAGATAGTACAGCTTGAGAGGAACATTCTGTTCAATAAAAAAGGCTTTCCTTTTTTTCGTAGGTTGAGTGCTAGCTCAAAAAAGACAATGCATAAACTTGAGCTGCTCTACCTCCTCATAGGAAATGGTAAACTGGTAATTTTGTTACATTACTCAAGACCAACTTACTTACTTTAAAACCTTAATAGTTGATATCCTGGATGTTAGGGTCAGAACAGGTTGACGCAGTATTCAAGGCAGACAAAAAGGCGGTGCCGCTTAGAGAGTCCCAGATGCAGGGGTTTGGTGGTCGGAGGACAGGCAGGTGGTCAGAACCATGAAGACGAATGTGAGCAGGATTAGCCATAGACTAAAGCCAAAGATGAGGTCAGGGACCTGGTGAATGGTCAGAGTCAGGAGATCAGAGAGCAGGTGATGTGCCGACGGATGGATGGAGTCGGATCACAGTTCCATGTTTGATTCTTGGAGAAGCAGACAGAGTGGATGAGGGCAGGCAGGCTTGGTAGTCAGGAAACGAATCCGGTAGGTACGCAATGGGCAGAGATCAGGCAGAAGACGGGTCAGGCAATCAGAATCAGCTGGGAACAGGCAGGCTCAGAAATCAGGATAAGGACGTTAGAACTGAGAACACTCGATTAAGTCTCACCAATGGCTTAAACTAATCTGGCACCAATGACTGGCTTGAAGACTGGTTATACAGTGGCTAATGCAGGTGGATAAGATGAGCGAGTAATGAAAACTGGGTTACCAAGGTGAGTAAGAATCATTCTACTAACATGGCCAAGACCAAACTGTACACCTCAACAAGGCTGGAAAGGGATACTAGGAAATTGCCAAGCACTTGTTGAAAAAAGTTCCAGTGGTGGATCCAGGGGGGGAAAACTTGGGCTGTAGCCCCGGATGATTACCCAAGAGCCACAGATATCGCTTCTGAGGTAATTTGAGTAAAATGTGGAGCAATAGAATTTACCAGAGAGTGGCAGCATATGCAGGAAAGCAGCCTGTAGCATTCCCTTGAAGAAGTTTTCCCCTCTCGTCGCTGCCAGCTTTTAGGAGTCATGCGTCTCTGCAGCAAAATTTAAACTGACAGGGTCGTGGTGGATATCAATGGATATAAGAAGCTGTTTTTTTTTTTTTTAAATGGACAGATGCACCAGCAGCAGCACAAACATATGTTGCTAAGCAGACTGATGTCTCAGCTATGTGAAGCTTTGACTGATTTTGAAAATTGCCTGAAAAAAACAGTTCACCCTCCATAACATGGGAAGAAATAAATTCTCAAAAACTCTTATGTGCATCTTCACCCTCAGGGCTAAGCCCTTGGTCTTCTAGAATCCTAGGTCTGTCCCTGGTTGGAACAATCATTAGAAAATGAAACAAGCTGAACATGACTGTCAAACTCCCCCGGACTGAGGCTCCTTCCAAGATCTCACCTCGTGAGGTCTCAATGATCCTAAGACAGATCAGAAAACAACCCAAAACTACACAAGAAGAGCTGGTCAATGACTTGAAAAGAGCTGGGCACACTGTTTCCAAGGTAACTGTTGGTAATACACTAAGATGTCATGGTTTGAAAACGTGCATGGCACAGGAAGGTTCCCATGCTTAAACCAGCACATGTCATGAGAGTCATGGGAGAAAGTAATGCGGTCATTGAGACCAAAAAATTACTTTTTCATTAGGGGTGGGACGCGATTAAAATTTTTAATCGCGATTAATCGCATGGCTGTGAAATTAATTAATCGAATTAATCGCATTTTAATCGCATACTTGGAAACAGCAGGAAGTAACTTTTTCCACATGGATTTTGAATGACAACACACAAGCTTAATAAACAAAATATTGTTTGTTTATTTTTTTAAAGAAATATCAACAGGCCAGTGCAAATTTTAAAGTTCAACATATTTAGGAACGCTAAACTCAGAAATTCAGGTAGCTCTATAGGTATAGGTAGAGCTTAATACTGCTTTTTAAACGCAAAAATGCAATACTTTCAAGTACATTCAGAACAAAAAGCCTCTGAGGCTTTAACACAATTCGTGGATTTATCAACAGTTCAACTGTTTACAAAAAATAAGTCAGAAATTAAATGAAATTCAGTCCAACTCTTTATAACATTGGCCATTCAGACAGTTCAGTTCAACATAAAGTGACAGTGATCGACCTCCAATTTTTCCCATTTGAAACACAACTGGCCTCAGGATACACATTTAACTGATTACTTCCTCTCTTTCAGCCAGTTGCTGAGACATACTAGCCTGTTCACATTTTCGGGCACCAGTTCCTCAATGCTGGTCCACACATCTCCTCGCTCTCCTCTTGGTAGACACTTTAGGTCCTTAAGATCAGAATAAGAATCAGAATCAGGTTTGTGGTCACATTAATCAGAGATTTACAGAGTACAAGCTGGATGAAATTCATTAGTATACATGGTTTCCATCATCCAGAATCTCCTCTACTGGTTGTGCCTATGGTCAAGTCTAAACTGTCCAAATTAGAACTGCCCCAACAGCATCTTGTTTTAAAAAGAAATTAAAAATAGCATTATTCTCATCTGCCTTTGGTAATAGTTGGTTAATTATCTTCAATCCATAAAACAACATGGATTATTTTTTTCTGTTTTCATTTTTTTTACTCTTTAGCACATTGAATGACAATTATGTATGATAATGTGCTATACAAGTCATGTTGATGTTGTTATTCCATAAGCGAGGGGAGGGGGCCGAGGAAATAAAAGAGTCATAAGCAATAAAAGAGAAAAATAAAGAAGACCATTACACACCTTAAAGCGAGGGTCGAGTGCTGTAGCCACTTGTAGAAATCTGTGATTTAGGGCATCCTCACGCTGAGACAGCCCCTTATCTTCTACCACAGCAATGGGTCTGCAGTCGAGAGCCGCCCAGTAAGCCAGCGCGTTGGTCATTTTATCGGCCTTGGTCTTGCTTACCCTGCCCTTGAAGCCAGTCAGCTGGTGTAGTGTGGGTTGTTTCGTCTTCCTCCCAGTTGGGCTAGCTTCCACACTAGTATCTGCCAAGCTAGCTGCTACATGCTTTGCGTTCAGGTGATATTTGAGGCTTGATACGCTGCGGTGATAGGCGAATTCCTTGTTGCATAATTTACATATGACCGCGCTCTTATCGACTCTTCCCTCCTGTATTTTAAAACAAAATTTCCCCTGCAAAGGACCAACTAAAATGTTTTCATCTGCTTCGTCTAATTCTTCCATGGTTGTCTCTCCTTCTAGTTTAAAGCAACATTCTTCTCTGTTCTTCTTCTTCAGTTTCCGTCCGACGGTATTCTGGCCATAGTTCTAATGCTGCCCCCACAGGTGAAATAATTACTTGGGTGAAATCCCAAACGACTTCCAGGAGACTGTGGTGTGCGATTAAAATGCGTTAATTTTTTTAACGCGTTAATATTTGTATGATTAATTAATCGAAATTAACGCGTTAATGTCCCAGCCTTATTTTTCATATAATAAAGAATGATGAAGGGTGGTATATATACCTCATCTAATCGGTACAAGATCTTAATAAATATTGCTTCTTAACTGTATGTGCTTTCTTTTTGACATGAAAACTGGCTCAGAGTTCATCTGCCTATCTGTTTCCTCCCTAGACAGAACTACTGGTGGAGCTAGTTTTCCTATACTCCTATTATGTGTGTGCTTCTGACTTGATTCCCAGTTGGACTGGGCAGAAGGATGCTGAAACTGATCCAGCAGAAATGGTCTTGCTAAGTTTTCTTTCCACTGTCACTGTGTGCATAATCGGTGTGAGTGATTGCTGTAGAGCAGCAATCTGTTGCTACATCCTGATCCAGAAGGAGCGAATACTGGAAATTCGACACCTCATAAGAGACGACAAAGACCTGGACTACAGAGAGGAGGTGAAGCAGCTGCTGGACTGGTGCAGAGATAACAGCCTGATCCTGAACGTGGAGAAGATGAAGGAGATCCTCTTGGACTTCAGGAAGAACCGGCCTAACTGGTCATCAACAGATCAGCTGTAGAGGTGGTCAACAGCACCAAATTCCTGGAGGTGCACATCACAGACACGCTCACCTGGAATGTAAACACCACCTCACTGGTTAAAAGGGCACAGAAGCGCATGTACTTCTTGTGGAGGATGAGGAGAGCCCTCCCGCCCCCACACATCCTTACCACCTTCTACAGAAGCACCATTCAGAGCGGTCTGACCAGCTGTCTCACTGTGTGGTGTGGAGGCTGCAGCGCCTCAGACTGGAAGAAAGAGAGGAGAGTAGTGAGAAGAGCAGAGAAGATCATCGGGGCTCCTCTTCCCTCCATAAAAGACATTTCATCCCAGCGCTGTGTGTCCCGAGCCCGTAGCATCATAAATGACCCCTCACACCCCCACCATGGACTGTTCTCCTTGCTGCCCTCGGGGAAGAGGCTTCGAAGCATCCAATGCAGGTCCAGCAGATACCAAAACAGTTTTTTCCCTCACTGCTATTAGACTTTTGAATGTTTTGTAAAATGGGTTTTTGTATTGTATTTTATTATATTTATTATATTTTATCATTATAAAAAAAAAACATTGAAGTGTACATTTACAGTCATACGTTTATACTGTATTACTGTTTTTATATATTTTTTATTTTTTACTATTTTTGAAGGCTGCACTTTTAAAAAAGATGAAATTGTCCAGAGAGCTGTTCCAGATGAAATTTCTTGTTTTACACTTGTATAAACAAAATGACAAACAAATCTGTCTATATCTATATATCTAAATTTGCTAAAGAGAGAACCCTTTAAGCCTTAAAGTTTAAGGAATGCTCTTTAAAGTGCTTTGTGATGACATGTATTATGAATTGGCGTTATACAAATAAACTGAGTTTAATCAAATTCGCTTTTTCAGAACAAAAAGCATTTTTTTATATTGATGTTGATGTCAAAAGGCTGTCTTTAATTTAAAGTTATGAATTGACTTGCTAAAATCACAGATATCAAACACTACCTACGAGGCTGTTTGCAGGGGCGTGTAGTGTATTGCCTTCTCCGATTGTGGGGTGTGACTTGGAGGTTTACCCTGGCAGCTGGGGGTGCTTCAGACCAGCCAGGAGGAGCAAAGAGAAGATTGGATACCCTGAGGCAGATGACAGATGGTTTTCCCTCACAAATTTTTGACAGGCTTTTTTTTTCTTTCTTCATATTCCTTACCTTGTGTATTCTTTGCGTCCTTTATTGAGAAGTAACCCATTCTCCAGTTCTTAGCCTTTGCACTTCTTCGTCTTGTTTTTGATGTGTATCAGTTTTCTGGATCACTCTGAAGAGTCTCCTTATTGCGTATTTAGTTGCCCTTCCTAATATGCCTGAGCACATTGTACAGACCTCTTCTCCATATTCTCACTTAAAATGAGGAAGCAACCATCATCGGGGATCACATTTATTTGGGTAGAAATGTTAATTTTTGCGGAAACCTTTAATACAAAGGTTTAAAATGTGCTTGAATTTCTCATATTGTTAAAACCGATACAAAAAAACTGTATGTCCAGATTAGTTTGAGTGGACTAAGTGCTCAAATCTATTCAATGTAAGAATCTGTCATGATCTGGCCTGTTTGCTCTCCCTTAATTAGTCATTCCTTTCACCTGTCTGTTTTCCCTCCCTGCCTCAATTATTATTTATTCCCCTCACCTGTTTCCTCTGGTTTAAATTCCCTTCAGCCTCAGCATTCAGGTCCAGATCATTGCTTGTCTTTCTGTCAGTCTTTCTGTTTGGTTTTATTTGGTTCATGTCCTGGATCCTAGCTGCCAGTGGAAAGAGGGTTTAAGTGTTTGTCTCGTCTCCTGATTGTCCACTTTTCCCCCCCCGTGGAGTCCTCTGGGTTTTTGGCTCATTATGGGGGGAGGTTCAGTTTTTATCAAAGTAAGCCTGGCTCCAGGGAGGAGACCAGTTTAAAGTCCTGCTTTAATATCTGGTTCCTAGGTCCTGTCTCAGCTACCCTCTTCCACTGTGCCTGCCTGTCTGCACCTGATCCTGTCTGCTCCTGTGCGTGACCACCTGGTCATGCTTCTGGTCCCAATCTGACTCTGAACCCTCCTGGAAGCCTGTGCATGTCTGGAAGTCTGGATCCTGCCACCTGTTTCTGTTCCTGCCTGATCTGGATTCTGCCTGTTCGGTCTGTTCCTGATCCCTCACCAGGATCAGCTTCTAGCCTCACCTCTGGGACTGCAGCACTGGGGACATTCGTGGTCTGGACTGTTAAACCAGAGTGTCTGAGATTGGGCGGTGCCCCGCCCCCCCGCCTGCAGTGTCCGCGAGCCACAGCTCCGCTTTGTGTTTTGTTTTATTTAATAAACGTTTGAACTTTCCTACTGACTGTCTCTCCCTGAATACTGGGTCCATCTGTCCTCGGTTCATGACAGAATCATGTTTTTATATATATATATATATATATATTCTCAGTAATTAAGGCTTTTTTATTCTTTCTGTCTATTGTTTGTGCAGGGTTTTAACTAACCCCATCAGTTGAACACATGGTTGGTAATATAACTAGTAATTGGAAAATATGAGTATAAATTCCCTGAAAGAGCCTGAAATGTTACAAGAGAAGGACTCTAGTGCTGAAGTTGCTGCGAGTTTCTGGCAAACATCAATGATTGGCAATGAATGTATGAGCCCAGCCCCGAGGCAGTCCAGTGGTTTTGGATATCAGTCACTGCTGATAAAAAGCCCTCTCTACTGAAAACAAATGTCCCCTCTTTTACCAATGATTTAGATGAAACACCCAACGGACATCAAAATGTAATTGGTCTGCCTTACACTCTACTCATCAAAGTGCTTCTGTTGGCTGGCTTTCAGTTTTTAGTGACAAAACTAATGTTCCCTGAAACACAGGCAACATTAAAATGTATTTCCAATTCATGCAGAAAACATCCCTGTAAGGACTGTCATTCATTTCATACAAGTTAAACAATGGGTATTAATATCCCCCAGAGTTTATTATGCCCCGCGCCGTGCCACCCCCTTCTCATCTATTGCCCTACTGTCTCACTATCTTTCACTCACTGCGGCTCTTCTTCACTCGCAGTTGAAAAGGCTGTCAGGGTGAAATCTAAATAGGTAATTATCTGACTTGTTTCAGACGGGGAGGAGGGAATGCAGCCGGCGGGCCATCATGACTGGCCTAAAGTCGAGCCCAATCTCGGCACTGGAATATTAAATGCAGTTTCACCTTGTGTTTGGAGCTCTTTTTAAAATCTTCCTTTTTTTAAGGCTGTTTAACCAATCCAACATTCTTCCATTAATTAGTTACAGTTAAGCTTTTCTGAAATCCCTAATGTCAGGGTTTATCAATTTAGTTTGAAAATGAATACAGACCAACCTTCCTCCCACTCAATTTTTTTTTAAGCATCTGCATATCATTTGAAGTGAAAAAGGAACAGCATCAAAGTATTTGGTGCATCATTCTCATTTTCACTTACTGAATAGTAGACTGTTTTTGGTTGGCTACTGCCCCCAATAGGCCAAATAAATGGTCAGAGGATCATTACTGAGAACTGGAATACTCTGAACATTTTCAAGATAACTGATATACAAATATAAAGACCTAGGTGAGGCTTTAAGACCCAGGAAATGTGTAAATTGCACATGATTTTAATAAAAAAATGGCTAATCAACATATACATGATGAAACAAATTGTGTTTAGATGGCTTCAAATAAATAACCATAAAAATTATTCATTATTATAGTAAATAACTGATTATTTCATTTGTATCCAAATAAACAAAGATATGAATAGATTTTCTTTGGAAAAATAAGGAAAGAGTCATGTGAAAATATATGCATTTAGATTTATGGGGAATACTTTTGCTTATTTGTTTAGCTATGGCTTAAATAAAAATAGCTTAAAGCCCATAATGGCACGATACAACCCTAAACATCTAAAAGAATTAAATTAATAATTATGCCAAACATTATTTTATAAATTTAGACCCTGAAATAAATGCTATTAACAAGCCCAATACCCAGAATGGTACACTTTTAATATCCAGTCGCCCCAAGCATAAAAGTATAATCTTAAATATATGACAATTTAACCGATCGATTTACGTATAAATGCTTTGATTCTGAATACCATCAAGATGATTTTGTCAAATATAACTCCCATTTTAAATCTTTACTGTATCTGTCCTCTTAATATTTAAATTCCTTCACCCCTTTTTACACGTTCTGTTAGCACCATGCCTGTTAGTATATTTTATAATAAATATTT